CAAAAAGAGCAATAATAATACTACCAACTCTTTGTTTTATACAAAACAAAAAGATATTTTTGAAGAAAACTATAAATCAAAACTTTCACAAACAGTCTATAGCAGCAGTTCTCCAAGTTTTTGATGTCTTGACGCTTATGTGGATAGAGTGCTGGGTTTAGATTCAGAAAGATCGGAGCTTAAATCCCATCTCAGACACTTGCTAGCTGTATGACCCTGGGCAAGTAAGTCACTTAATTTCTATCTGCCCTGGTTTCCTCAACTGTAAAAAGAGGACAATAATAGCACCTATCTCAGAGTCCTGAGGATCAAATGAGATAATAATTGTAAAGTGTCGAAGCACAGCGCCTGACACACAGTAGATGCTTGAGAATTTCTCCCTTTCTTCCTATACATCTTCTTTAAAAAAGCTATATAAATCAGTATCTCAAAGGACAGGAAAAGCATTACTTAAGCTTAGGGGCATATAATACCGTTAGCTTTTTGCTTCTTCAGAACAAAACCTGTGAGTTAGGTAAGATTAGAGAGATGATCAAAAAAGTTTCAAAGCAGAAGTCCTGATTAATACGAACATGAAAATAAGCTATCAGAGGCAAAAGGTTCCTTTCAGAAGATTACATTAAGAAATAAAATGGGGGCAGCTAGGTGGCGCAGTGAATAAAACACAGACGAGTTCAAATCCCACCTCAGACTAAACACTTGATGTTTACTAGCCGTATGACCCTGGGCAAGTCACTTAACCCCAATTGCCTAAAAACAAAACAAGAACGAAAAACAAAATGGAAACAAACAAAATAACCCAAGACAACTTGGTGAAGTGGAAATTTCCTACAGTAAATCTTAAATCAAAGAACTTGTATCTAAGTCCAGGAGCTGCTATTTATCACTTTGGTAATGTTGGGCTAACGAATTACATGCTTCTCTTGGACTCAGTTTTCTTTTCTGTTAAATGAGAGGAATGGACGAAATGACCTATAGGTCTCTTTCAGCTCTAAATCTGTGATCCACTAAAGTGTAAACTCTTCTATGGGCAAGGAATATCTTTTGCCTCTTTTTGTACCCCCACCACTTAACAAGTACCTGGGGCATATAGTAGATGCATAATAAATTTATGCGTTTATTGATTTGCCTAAAATAGTTATATGAAAAAAGAATAAAACAGGGCAGAACTTTCAACACTAAACAGAAGAACTTCCCTCAAGTTGCTTATCTTAATAAATTACTTTTAAAAAAGCAGATCTAGCATTTGAGATTAGTGCTTACAAATTTGATATAAGTGAACTTTACCCTGAAGAGAAAAATGCCTTAAAAAGTACCCAAAACACTGATGGCAGCTTTAATAATCCTTGTAGACAAAGTTGAACTATTAGGGATTACTTAGAATAGGTCTTCATTTTGATGCTCATTCAAGAGCAGAATTTATTTATTGCTAACATAGGCTTCCACTAAAGTCTTCCTCTGATGCTTTATTATGGTGTGGCTTCTCCAAGACACTGAGAGGAATACAAATCCCAGCAAGCCCTACTAAACTGGAAAGATTAAGAACAGAGGCCCAGCAAGGTCTACTGATTCATGAAGTGTCTGGGATTGACTCATTCTATAAGCATTTATTATATGCTTACTGTGTGAGACGTGCATGCATACACACACACACACACACACACACACACACACACACAAAAACTCCCAACATGCATCAGAGTACCCACTCCAGTGAAACCAAAGAATGTCAAGGTACTCAGGTTACTAGGGACAGAGGTGGAATGAAAACAATAGTAGACTATAAGGCAGAAAAAAAGGCCTGGCTCTGACACCTTGGGGAAAATCAGTTAACTTTCCTGAAGCCTGTTTTCCCTCAGGTATAAAATAAGGGCAGTTCCAGACTCGTATATTTTAAGATGAAAGCAACCTTATAGAACACTTAGTCCATGCCCTTGTTTACAGGTGAGCAAACAAACCCTGGGAGGGCCTTTAGGATTTTTCCCTATTCCTAGAGTGGTTCATGCCCCTCCTCATCACTGTATTTATCTTTGTATTTACTTATCTGTGATCACATAATAATACACCCTAACAGAATGAGCTTCTAGGAGTCTGAGCAGTTTCATTTATCTTTATATGCCCAGCACCTGACTCAAGGAAATGCTTTTTGATTGACTGGTCCAACAATTTGAAGATATGACCACAATTTTTTACTGAACTCTGACATTCTTTCCCTGTGTCACGTAGCTGGATTAGATGATTTGAAGATTACTTCTAGTCCTGACCTATAAATCTCAATCTAAATCGGAAATTAGTGACCATTCATTTATTGGATCATTTAACTCAAAATTACCCCGTAGTTCATTTACACAAGTCCTTGTCACCACACAACAGTAATCGGGAACAGAAAGAAAGGAAACTAGCCCTTTCTGAAGTAAGGACACCACAAAAGTGAGAGAGCAATGTTATCTACCAACAGGCATTTACTATAAATGAGTCAGTTATGTCCCCCACACTACTCAGCAGAAACTCACCTCAAAAGACAAATTCAACATAGTTCCCTTATGGCACATTCTGAAATGTAAATATTTTCATCTTGCAAACATATAAAACTCCTGGTTGGGGGAGGGGGAGAAGAGAGGAAACAATAGATATTTGGGAGAAGGGAGAAAAAGTAAATTTCTTTATCAAAGATTTTCCCCTTATATGACTGATTACTTCCCTACAAGGTCTGTACATATACTCCAGTCCTCTTTCCTCTGAAAGATTCTAAGCGTTTTCACTACTCAATACCAAAACAAAAGTGCCCTCAGACTGAAGCTTGAACCCACAACAATGCTCTCTGTAGGTTCCTGAAATAGATCAGTAAAGTACACTTCCTGATATATTAAGAAACAGTTCCTGAGTTAATTCTTCGAGGCCAATTTAATACTGAGTTGTATGGATTGTGAGCACTTGAAAAACCCAAATCATACAAAATCAGCTGTTAGAAATTCCAAGAAAACCTGCTTAAGGAAAAACCATATTTTACTCTTTAGGATAGTATTTTCAAATGACTACACGTCTTGGGGGGGAAATGGTGTATATTAGTAGTCTACATTAAACAGTAAAAACTTAGTCTTCATTAAAATACACTGCCAAATTATTCCTTAATAAAAATTTAATTTCCTTCCTATAATACCTGGTGGAATACCACATTCATGAAGAGACTCAATATGATTTGATAACTGAATTCATCAACACTTTATTCTAAAAACATCTAATTTCTATAAAGTTCTGTAGTGACAGTTTAAAAATAAACCCTGACAGGTTATAAAGCTACAGGGTTTTAAAGTTTCCAAAGCATTTTACACACATTAGCTCATGTGAAAAAGCAAATCTTATAAACATGAATGAAATTTGAACCAAAACTCCTCAACTGTTGTATCAGATCGGTCTACAATCCCTAAACAGATTTCCTAACAAGATTAGGAAGGTCAAAGGCATAAAGGCAAGATGTGTCATCTGCTGGGAAAGAAGGGGATGCATCAGACGGCTGACTTTAAGTTCACTAAAAAATAAAAAAAACTGAGTTTCCGCTTGGAAAATCAAAAATTGTAACTCTGAGAATATTAAATCAGACACGACATCTGGAAGTCTACAAAACAACTTGCACCAGCAAAATCTTCCCAAACGAAGACTGTCACATTTTGAAGTTCACAATCTAAAATAACTAAATGCGAATGAATTCACGGACAGTACCTCTGGCTAGCCCCGCACACGTCCCGGACTAAAGGGCGCACCAAAATGCAGCTTTTGTCTTCCCGTCCATCTCTCAGAGACGCGACTAAAGCTACGAAGTAACGGAAGGCATTCACAGGGTCCGAGGCAGGGCTCCTCCGAAGGCCCGGACCGGCGGCTCCCTACAGCAGGAGCTCCGTCCACCGCCTCACCCCGGGAGCTGCTCGTCCCACCGCAGCGGGCTCCGCACCCCGAGGGCCGGGGGCTAGCCCAGCATTCTCCCCCCGCCCCCCATCTTTTGTTTGGCGGGACCCTCCGTGTGTACCCTGCCCCAAGGCAGCCCCGGGAGGAGAGCCCACTCTCCCGCCCGGGAGGGATGCGAACACTACCGGCCCCGCCTCCGGGGTCTGCGGGGCGCCCCCGTCGGGAGGTCGGGGGTCGGCACCCCAAGGAGAAGACGCCCAGATCTTTTGGGGGCGGAAAGGCTCGGGATTCGCCCGAAGGGAGCAGAGTGGGGGTCCCGCCCGAGGGAAGCGGACGGCGCCGGCGCGGCAGTGACGGGACTCACCGAGGCTGGCTGGGCAGGGCCCGGGGCTCCCGGTGGGCTCCGCTCCGCGGGCTCGTCCCGCCTCCTCGGGACGGGGGCTCCGGGGCCGGACCTCCTCCCCTCCCCCGCTCCTCGTCCCGGACTGGGTCACGGGGTGAGGAGGGGGGCTCGGGGCGCGGCTCCGGGCCTCAGGAAGGGCCGGCGCCCCCCATGCCTCTGGGCCGCCGCTCCGCCTCTCGGGGGGCTGGGGGAGGGCGGGGCGGGGGCTCCTGCCGCCGCCTCGCGCTCAAGTCCGCCTCATCGTCGAGCTTCCGCCTCCCGGCCAGCCGCCCGGCTCTCGCGCTTCGCTTCCGCCGAGGCCACGCACACTGACCAGCCGCGCTCCGCAGGCAGGCTCCGCCGGCAGCAGCGGCGACGCTGGCGACGGAGGCCCCTGGCAGCGGCGGCGGATAGAACAGCGCCTCGGGCCGGCAACCCGGAAACTGAAGCTCCGCCGCCGACCCCGCCGGGGCTGTCGGGGGCGCGAACCCGGAAGCGGTTCCCTCGGGCTCCCGGAGGCTCGGGGCGGGGCGTCGAGCCCGGGCATGGGCGGGTCCAGCCGGCAGCCCGAGGCACCGGCCGAGGACTGCGGCGCGGGGCTGGGCGGGGCTGAGGCGGCGACTGCTCGGGGCGCGGGCGGTCCGGCTTCCTGTCCCCGGAAGTCGTGCTGAGCCGTCGTGGTCGCCGTGGGCGAGGGCGGGGATGCGGAGGCGGCGACTGCCACCTTCCCTCCCCTGCCGGCCCGGCCCTGCCCTGTCCGGCCCAGCCCGCTCGGCTCGGGTAAGAACCGCGCGCGGCCTGCGCTCCTCCCTCGGGGGCCGGGCGAGGGGAGGAAGGGGAAGGGGAGCAGACCCAGGCTGGGGCGGGGTGGGGGGGGGAGCGAGAAACCCCTAGGAAAGGGTAGGGAGGAGACCCCGGACTCCGGGATGGCAGAGGGGAGCGCTAAGAGGGGAGGGGAGCAGACCTCGGGTTGGGGGTGGAGGGAAGACCCCTAAGGAGGGGTTAAGAAGCTGACCCCAGACTCCGGGATGGGGGGGAACGCTGGAAGGGACCAGGGGAGCAGACCCGGGCTGGGGGATGGAGGGAAGGCTCCTAGGAGAGGGTAGGGAGCAGACCTCAGACTCCAGGATGGCAGGGGAGAGCACTAAGAGGGAAGGGGGAGCAGATCTCGGGCTGGGGGAATGGAAGGAAGACCCCAGACTCCAAGATGGGGGGAGCACTGGGAGGGGAGGGGGAGCAGTCGCCGGGCTGGGTGGGGCCTTCCCCCCCGTGGAGAGGCCCTTCTTTGGCGGGTGATCGATCGATCGATCGATCGGTAGGTCCCCGTTTTCTCCTACGAGGGGAGAAAAGGATCCCGGCCGTTTAGTTTTGCTCGGTTTGACCGCCGGTCATCTCATCTCCTTCCTTGCAGTTGTCTCTTTGGGTATTTGGGATTCTTTCGGAGCTGATTCCCCTCCTTGCGTATGGCTAGCGTTGAAAACCCCCCTGGTCCCCTCCCCAGCACCGCGAGTCTTTCAGGCAGGACCCTCTCAACCTTAGGCCGAATCCTTCGTATTTCCCCAACAACTTGTCCCGTCTCCTTCTTGCTAGTACTTGTTTATTTACATGGGATCTCTCTCATTAAACTGTGAACTCCTGAAGAGCTGGGACTGATGTCCTGTCCCCCTCTCCCCCATTTTGTATTCGAAGTGCCTCACACACAAAGTAGATGCCTAATAAATGCTCGTGTACTAACATTTTGGCAAGCATATTCATTCATCTCCGTGGTTTGAGATGACCAAATCCCTTTCCCTTCACGATCTTACTGTCCCCACATTCTAATGTTTTTGTTCATCCAGTGGGGATGGGGAGGGGAGGGCTTACTTTTCCAAAATTCGCGAAAGTTTCATCCTGAATAAGTTATTCAGTTTTTTTAAGTATTTACTGCACCTGGTACAAATCACTGTGCTGAGGGAAATGGAAAATTTAGAGAAAACACAATGATTCCCACTTAGAGATAACAGTCTACTTAAGGGTGTGTGAATCCTAACCAGACAGCTACTGTACAAAATGTATTTTTGATAAGGACCTAAAAGATACAAAGTGTTTTGTGAAGTCTAGGATGGAGAAGAAGGAAAAGTCAGCTAAGGTTTTTCTGGAGGTGGTGCTACTTGAATTAGCTTTTAAGAATAGATAGAAGGAATATAACAAATGGAGGGAGAAGAGGGCATTCTAGTCTGAGGGAACAGTGGAAGTAAAAGTAGCAAAGTTAAAGCATGGGATGGGAGGCAGCTAGGTGGCTCAGTGGATTGTGTTGGGCCTTGAAGAGTAAGGAAGGCCTCAGACCTCGGACAGGTCACTTAACCTTTGTTTGCATTGATCTAGTAGGAAAGGAAGTGGCAAACCAGTCCAGTGTCTTTGCCAAGAAAAACCCCTGGTCATTGTTGGTGTGCTGTGATCCACGAGGCTGACGAGAGGCAGACAAGACTGAACAACAACAAAGTATGGCTGGCGTACAGAGCGTATGGAAGGGACTAGAAAAATAGGGTTGGAGAGGGAAAGCAGAGCAGGATTGGGGGGGGCGACCTTCGAAGGCAGACAAAGGAATTTGGACTTTGCTCATTAGGCAAGGGGGAGTTACTGAAGGGTTTTGAGCAAGAGAGTGATGTGACTAGATTTCTGCTTTAGGAAGATAAGTTACTCTGAAGAATGGTTTGAGGAGGGGTTGAGTATAGAAATGAGAAGATATTAGAATAACAATTGTATAAGCAGATGGCCATGAAAAGAGAGAGGAAGTGAAGGTGACAGATATTGTAAAGTTAAAATCAAACTCGATACTGAATATTGAAAGTGAGGGAGGAAATAGTCAAAAAGTTTGGAATGTAGAGAAATCAAGATGAATAGAAGTGTCATTGATATGTAATGAAGTAAGAAGAGGAATAGATTTAGGAGAAAACATAATTATCTCAATTTAGAAGTTGATTTTTCAATCCCCATAAGACATAGAAGTAGAGGTGTTTTGTAGGCAGCTGGAGACGTGGAACTAGAGCCCAGGAGAGAAGTCATGGCCTCCTTATTAGTCTTTACCTAGTGTTAGTAACTAGCAGGATTGAGGGAAAGGTAGGCAGATCGAATTCTTTGCCTAGGGTAAGTGGAGTATGACCTGTTAATCAACAAGTGTTTTTTAAGTGCCTTCCACATGAGAGTCACTAAGGTATGCAAGTCCAAAGAATTGAATTACCACCACTTTCCAAAAGACTACATTCTATAGTAGACAAGTACATATTTTAAAATCTGCAACATAAACATCGATAAATACAAATGCACAGATACAAATATACTTATATGCAGTGTTCTTTGTTAAGTGCTGAAATTATAAAGTATCTAGGAGATACATTATGGCTGTTCTCAACAGGCTTATATTTTTTCCAAAAGGCTAAAACTATCTCCCAAATCCCTCTGTACCTAAGAGGCTGAAAAATTAGTCTTTTCCCCTGCCTCCAAACCTATTTGGTTTAAAGAGGTAGACCTAGTGGTGGAGAAATTGGTCTGTTACCTTTAAACACACCAGAGATGACACACTGAGCTCAGGTGTCTGATGGGGATACCAGGGGTGACAAGGGGGGGGTACTATTGATTTCTCCTTATTCTCCAAGTGAACTAATACTTTCTGTTGCTATTGGAATATTCTATTGCAGTGGCTGTGCATAAACATGGAATTTACAACACATTTAAAGATGAATGGAACTGTATATTAGGAACTCCAATTCAAAGAAAAAATTGTTTTAAGTAGTTAGATACAAGATTGCTTGAGAGTACAGGAATTATTGGTTGGGGCAGGGGTGGGGAAGTTTGGATTGAGTCAAAGGGCTGCACTTGAGGACCTAGTGGGCCACAGGTTCCTCACCCCTGCTCTAGGTTTTCATTGACACTACTCTTCTGATTTTTTTCCTACCTATCCGACTCTTCCCTCTTAGTCTCCTTTGCTGGCTTTTCATCCAGATCCTCACTTGCTAACCTTGGGTGTCAGACAGGGTTCTGCCCTGGGCCCTCAATATACGTTTTCACTTGGTGATCTCATCAGCTCCCTTTGATTCAAAGACCAACTCTGTGTTGATGATTCCAAATCTTATCCAGCCCTATACCCTCTGCTGACCTCTGGTTTCACAGCCCCATCTGTTTATTGAACATCTCAAATTGGATGACCTTTAGACTTTTAGATCTGAAGCTCAATGTGTTCAAAACTGAACTCATCTCCCCTCCCCTCAACTCTCCTCCCTTTTAGACTTCCCTATTACTGTTCAGGGCACCACCCTCCTCCTGTCATCAAGGCTTGAAACCTAGATGTTATCTTCTACTCCTCACTCTCTTTGCCAAAGCCTTCTGACTTTACCTTTGTGATGTCTCTCAAATACCACCCCCACATCCCCTGCTGGTACCACCATCACCCTTGTGGCAGTACCTCATCTCCTAACACTTGGACTATTGGAGTAGCCTGTTGGTTGGTCTGCCTGCCCCAAGTTTCTTCCCCACAACAAGCCACCCTCCATTCATCTGTCAAAGTGAGCTTCCTAAAAAGTGCACATCTGACCCTGTCAGCACTCCCACAGACATATATGCACACAGTTCGATAAACTCTAGTGCCTCCCTTTCATCTCCAGGATCAAATATAAAATCCTCTGGCATTCAAAGCTCTTTGTAACCTGCCTTTCTGCCATCTTTCCAGTCTTCTTTCACCTAATTAACACCTTCCCCCACCCCCACCTCTAACCGGACACAAATACTCTTCAATCCAGAGACCTGGCCTCTGCCCCATTCCTAGAACAAAACATTTCATCTCCTGATCTGGGCATTTTCGCTGGCTGTCCCCCATGCATGGAATGCTCTTCTGTGCCTCCTGGGTTCCCTAGCTTGTTTTAAGAAGAAGCTAAGAATCCTGCCATCTACAAGAAGCCTTTCCTGTGGCTTTCTAGTTCTAGTGCCTTCTGTCAATTGATTTTTACCAGTTTATCCTGTATACATCTTGTGTATACATAGTTTTTTCATGCTGTCATCCCCATTAGACTGAGAGCTCCTAGGAAGCCTGGACTGCCCTTTTTTTGTATCACCAGCACTTAGCACAGTATCTGGCACGTAGGAGGTGCTTAAAAAATATTAAGTGACTGACTCTGAGATAGGGGTAAAGGAGTGAATTCCAGTCATGGGAGAAGGCCATTGCAAAGGCATGAAGACAGAAGATAGAAAGTCTGTGAAGAACAGAGAGAAGGCTATTTTGGTGGGATTGCTGAGTACAAGAGGAAGAGTAATGTTGGACAGTTTTGGGCCAGCTTGTAAAATGCTTTCAAAGCTAAATAGAAGAGTTTATATATTTTATCTCAGGCCACTGGACTCGATTAAAAGGGAGTCGTATGGTCAGATATGTGTTTAAGGAAAATTACTTTAACAAGCAGTGCATAGGATGGAATGGTGTTGTAAAAGATTTAAGGCTGGTAGACCAGATTAGGGCCTGAACTAAGGTGGTGAGAGTGCTCGCACGAGAGTGAGAGAGAGAGAGAGAGAGAAAGAGAGAGAGTGTGTGTGTGTGTGTGTGTTGTGTGTGTGTGTGTGTGTGTGTTGTGTGTGTGTGTGTGATGGGAGAGAGTTGGTAGACAGCCAGAAAAAAAGAAGTGAGCAGTTGAGAACAATGCCCACATTAGAGCTGGGGAGATTGAAAGGATATTGATTACTTTCAACAAAAATAGGGAAGTTTGGAATACCAGAGGCTCTAGGAAGAAAGATAAAGGGTTCTGTTTTAGACTCTTGTTAAGTTAAATGTCTCTGGGATATTTGCACCATTGAAGTGTCTTCATTCAAATGTTTTGATAATGATAAAGATTAGTCTGAAGAGTCACACCTCAACTCTTGAGCATTGATTCTACTTGTCTGATTTCAGACCCTCTCCCCAATCAGGCACATTCCATTCTAATCAAGGAAAGAATCCCTAGTGTGTAAGAAAAAAAGACCAAGTGAAAATAGAGTAAATAAGTGGGGTTTTTCCCCCATTTTCATTCCGAACACCTCATCTAGTCATCCTGATATGAAATTTACTCAGTCATCAAAAGCTAACTATTACAAACCACAACCTTAGCTTGCTCATTTCCTAGCCAGCCTCAGTATACACTCTCAAGATCTCTTACCAAACAAATTTCAGTCTTAACTAGAACTTTTTTTTTTCATTTTCAGTTATCAGTACCTCCTGTTCTCTTTCCCCTTATTTCTATCTCAACTTAATCATCCCATTTCCTTTTCTCTGTCCCAGGTAATTATGTTAGTACTTATTTTGTAACCTCTTGAAGATGTTTCATTTTAAAAAATTTTGGAAAGTTGGGAACGATTAAAATTGCATGTATTACAGGCTTCATATATTTATCTTTTTTTAATCATGTTTGTGACTAGACTGTAGTTCATCTGTGGAGCAGAGCCCCTAACTCTATACATGCTTTCTTAAACCAATTTGGAGATAATAGGAATAGAAACTTTTTTACAAATCAATATGCATTTTCCTTGCCGATAGAATCACAGATCTACTGCTGAAAAAGACCTGAGGCTTTCTAGTCCAGCTTCCTTATTTTACAATTGCTTTGAATTGTGTTTGGAAACCTAAGACATCTCAGGTTGTTTCTAGACAGTTGCTGATGCTGCTAATCAGAGTATACATTGGACCTGATGGAAAGTACTTACCAGAAATTATTGTGGTTCCTTTTCGCTTGGCTTCAGGTCTTCAGCGGAAGTGGAGAGCCTTAAGGTCACCAAGCTAGAGCTGTCAAGGAGACTGTACTCCGGCCTTGTCTGGGGTCACTGACTCACTTAACCATGATAGAGGTAGTTAAGTGTCACGTGGGATTGAACACAGGTTCCCTGGCTCCAAATCAAGTGAATACTCTACCATATCATGCAGCAAATAAAAGATGTTTGTTCAACATTTTTGCCAGTTACTTTCTAAAATTAACAAATTTACAGAAGAAATAAAGCTAGATGGGAAGGCTCATATATTGGATTTTAATAGTAAGAGCTAACACTTATATTTAAACCACTTTACATATATTATCTTCTTTAATCCTAACAAAACACTAGGAGGTAGATGCTATTACTGCTATTATTTATTATTGGATGACAATGTTGAAAAAAATCTCCACAGGCCAAGACAATGGCCCAAATCTAATTCCATTAAAATTTAACAAGAATGAACATACACGAGTGGATTTGACAGTTGAAGCAAGAAAATCAACTGCATAAGTATGGCATGTCTTTGACCGGATAAGTTTATATGGAAAAGATCTGGGATCTTTAATGTACTTATAAGCTCACTATGACTCAATGACATGGCAGCTAAACAAACTGATGTGCTCTTAGGCTGCATTAATACAGTACTTAGTATCTAGAATCAGGGAAGGGATCATCCCATTGCCCTGGTGAGAACACATCGGTATTATTGTTCTCTTTCCTGGGCACCACTCTCTAGAAGGAACAGGAGCTTGTAAACCTAAAGAAGAAATTTAAGAGGAATGGGACAGCTGTCTTGAAGTATTTGAAGGCCCTTGGGTAGAAGAGAAGGGAGAAAGAGAGAAAACTGCTCTATAGAAGGAAATCAAACTGTTTAGATATGGAGTGACCACGTGGCATGTTGGTCTGTTAATCATCAAGCAGAGGAGGCAAAACTACTTAGGAATATAGAGTGGATTCTTAGTCAAGAACCAATGCCGACTGACCAGAGAGGCCCCTTCCAAAACCCAGCCCTTTCCCCTAATTCTGTGAAACAAATTCCCAGTGGTAGAATCTTGTATTTGCCTTATTTTTCTAAAACAGGAAAAATGCACTAATCGTCCTTTTTGTGTATACCTTAACAGGACCTTTTCAAAGGACCTTCAGTAGGACCTTAATAGGGAATGTCAGAGTGCCTCAAATACTGTGATAATTGCAGTATCTATACCTAAATAACACTTATCATTTGTTGTTACTATATCATGCAGAGAATTTATATAGCATAATGTCTGCCTGCAGAGCCCCTTGTACCCTTTTAAGGTGATAGCCTGGTAAGCTCCATAGATTTCAAGTAATTGGCTGTCCAAGTTGAAAATAATTACAAGATTGAATATTAGGAAAGCAAAATGTGCCTCCTTTTTTGTCTACTTTGAGACATGCTTCGCTATATTAGGCACATAGGTGGCACAGGGGATAGAGTGCTTGACCTGGAATCAGGAAGACCTGTGTTCAGATCCCTTATTAGACACTTAATAAATATGTGAGCTTGGAAAACTCACTTCACCTCTATCTGCCTCAGTTTCCTTATCTGCAAAAGGGGGTAATACTAGCACCTCAGAGTTATTGTGAGGATCAAATGAGATTTTTTTTTTTGCTTTTTGGTGAGGCAGTATGGGTTAAGTGACTTGCCCAAGGTCCCACAGCTAGTAAGTGTCAAGTGTCTGAGGCCACATTTGAAGTCAGGTCCTCCTGACTCCAAGGCTGAAGCTCTACCTGCTACACCACCCAGCTGCCCCAATATCTCAGCTGAAACTTGGTTTGGTTTGGTTTGTTTTTTTTAAAATTTTTTTGGGAGGGAGGGTGGCAATCAGAGTTAAGTAACTTGCCCGGGAGATAATATTTGTAAAGCAACCAGTAGACCTTAAAGCACTATATAAATGTGCTATTGTTATCCTTCATCTTTTTCTCAAAAAATCCCTCTGTTCAAAATGTCCCTAAATCATTAAATAAGCTTAATTATGAAAAAAATAAATTATAAGAAAATCTTTTTTTTTAATTGTGTTGTTTTTTTCCTCTGTATTTTAAAGTTAATTTAATGCCACTAGATACTGGATTGAGAGTCCCAGAAAGAACTATACCTGCTACCTCCCGTTAAGAACAAGTAAAGCCTGGATGCTATAAGGTAAAATTTAGGTCTGATGAAGTTCCTTTGTAGTTAGATGAATTACCATATGAACTACATTATTGTGGGTTTCCAATGAAGAGAAATAATAGTCTAAAATGTAGTCAAAAGTTTGAAAGCAGCATTTCCAAAACCTGTGCCATGAAACCTTTTGAAGCGTGAAATTTGATATTGGTCTAGAAGCTCAGAGTTACGGCTGCTTCTCAGGTAAAGAGAAGCAAGTGAAATTTAGGGATAAAATAGCAGAAATTAAAACCATTTTTATATTCAAAAATTGTTGCACATGGTATTTCCAAAAATTGATATTTTAGAGGGTGAATCACAAACATTGAAGTTTTCTCGTGGCGCATCATATGGAATGCAGTTTGGGAAGTGTTCTAAAGTAATGTTCCTGGTCAGTAATGACAAATTAATGTAAATTTCTCATCTTTTACTGTATTAAAAGTCTTCTAGAAGTAAACAGTTTCTGTGGTAGTAGTTGTGACTGTCTTCACTCATTTGGCATTTTTTAAAAAATCAACAGGTTTTGTATTTGTATTAGTAATGCCTGGAAGCATAATAATTATTTTAAGAGATTTTCTGTCATGTAAATGGGAAAGAAGAGAGAAGCAAAACTTTTTTCCATAAACCATTTTGAGTGGAAATCTTCTCCAAGACGGCAAGCAATCTGATATAGGTTAGACATGCACAATCATATTAAACATATTTCCATTGAGGTCTAGGGGTGCTGGGACCCCAAAATTCAAGGACAAGTGACACAGGTCCTGCCTGGAATGAATTTGACCCAAGCCAAGGTTTATTAGAATACTGGTCGGATGGGTGCTATTGTGACACTTGTATTGAAAAGCAGACGGGACTGAGTCTGAGCGATTTAATTAGGAGCAAGACGGACACTTATATGCAGTGGTCAAGAAGTGGCCAATAACTTGGATGACTGGGAGGTAACAGAGAATGGCCTGGAAGGGCCAGGTGCCCCAGGCAAATGCTAGGGACCTGGGCCACTCAGAAAAGGTCTAGATGGAATTAAGGAGTGATGATCTAGGGTGGGGCCAGACAGTGAGAGCTGGACAGGTTACAGAGAATTGGAGATTGAGGCAGGTTCAAAGTCACAAAGGAGGATGGTTGATAGGGTTGCCAGAGCCATGTGAGAAAGTTGGGGGGAAGGGGGTTTCCCAGGGCCCATACTCCGACATTTCCACTGTGCCTTTTTTTTTAGCAGCTGTCAACCATGCTCACTGTACTCCCTTTCCACTAGTTTTTTTTCTTCATTGCCTAAGAAACCAATTTAGTTAAATTTAACAAATGTCTATTCAGCTGTTACTATAAGCAAACCACTATGCTTTGTTGAGAATGCAAAGCCAAAGACAACAATCCTTTTCTTCAAAGAGCTTGTATTTGCTTTTAGCTTACATTCTCTTGCTGCTAGTTTATATTTTAACTTAAAATTGCATTTAAAATAAGTATAAAGAAGCTTCGTGCATCTTACCCATAAACAAAGTACATTAGATTTGCCATATGGATTTAGTGACATCTGTTTTGCCCATTGGGGTCTTTTTTGCTACCTTGTTCTCAGCTGTGTTCTAGACAGTTGTCCATGTCATTATTTTTTTTATTTTAAATATTCCAGGATAAGAATTACCATATTAAAACTAGCTAGCTAATGCTAATACCAGCTATATAGTTTACTATTTTCAAATGCATAATTCATCTCTTTGGTTTTAAAAAAAGGCAGAAAATACAATTAACTCACTAATGTCAGTTTATCCAGAAATTTAATCTAAGTAAATTCCAAAGAACCTGTAAGAACTTCCATTAATATGTTCATGTATACCTTACACATGAGGAAACTAAACCACGAAGAAGGCAATTTAACCTTAATCTTAATTTATTGAATAATAGAAGCATAATCTTAGTTTAGTATTTAGCATAATGAATTATGTTGCCTGTTCAAGCCTCTTACATACTATGTATTCTGATTCTGTGAGTTTTATAAAATAAAATGCAAAAATTGTTGAAAAAATAAAGAAGATATGAATATTAATAAGAATCAATGCTTGGAAAATGTGTTAGGTATTTTATTTTACCTTATTATCAACTTTGTGGTTTCCTGTTTATTTCAATCTCTCAGAAGTTGTGGGTTTTGATTTTTATGGGGATTTTTTGTTTGTTTGTTTGTTTTTAACAAAGCTATGGGAAATCCAGAAAATATAGAAGATGCATATGTTGCTGTCATTCGTCCAAAGAATACTGCCAGTCTCAATTCTCGGGAATATCGAGCTAAGTCATATGAAGTAAGAGACTGACATTTAAAATGTGCTATTTTCAATACCCTTGTTACCAGTTATAATTCTGTTTTGCTGTTTGTTTAAAGTAATTTTTAATCTTAACAATTGATGAGATTCAAGTGGGGTGGGAGTGAGAAGCCCATTATCTCAAGTATCACTTAAAGCCACTTTAGGAGACTCTGAGATTCTTGTAGGCTGGTCAAGGAAATACCCCAGTAACTGGGCCTCCTCCACCCTGGGCAAATGAGCTGAATAATGGAATAATGTCAGCCTAGATATTCACAAAACTGTGCACCACCCCACTCCTTGCCTGCATGTCCGAGATTACCTCACCTTCCCGTCCATCTTTCTGTCCCTGGCTACCTCATCTCTCTGCCCATTGCAGGTTTTCCTCTACAAGAATCCCCAACCTCTCCTGGCTACTTGGCAGCTCCCTCAATCTGGTCCCCCGTAAGCAGCCATCTCACTTGGGGCAAGGGAGGCTGATTCCCTTAGGGGGTTGCCACCCCTCCCCTTAAGCTGGGGTCTCCCTTAAGGGGTGAAAGAGCCTCCTTGGTGTGTTGTGTTATCTGTTATAAATGCCTTTACTTGATTTGGAGACAGCCTGAGTGATTTCTTTCTAGATGACTTTGCACCCCAACATTTTGGGTGCCTCTGAACCTCAATAGCTACATTATTTTTGTACAATTTTTGAATGAAATATACTTATGTGGACTGGTAAGGAGGGCAAACTTCATTACAACAGAAATGTCATCTTTCTTTGAAATGGATTTCAAAATCTCATTAGAAAGTTGCATCCTAGACTTCACTCCAACTTTCCTCTCTATTATTTAATTTATATGATTTATTTCCAGGTAACATAACATTTCGGAGATCTGTGATTGAGTACTTCCTCTAGCAGAGCAATTCGTAACTCCTGTATGTCTTCTTACATAATCTTTATGTTTTGCTAGGGTAAAAAATAATTCGATTACTTGGCAGCCAGCTTTTGATGTATCTTTCTAAACTTAGCTAGATTATTTCTCAGTAACATTCTTGAGTCCATATTTGAAATGGTGATCATTATAGCACTTGCCAGAGGTCTCTCTTTACTGGGAAAGCCTTTAAAAATCAAGGATCATTTCCATATCAGGTGAAGCATTGAAATAGGTTGTTAGTGGAAGTTGTTCTGAGTTTAGTTACCTAAAACCCATTAGATCAATATTACCTGGGTTCTGTGTGGACTTCTGTGATGTTAATAAGCTTTTTTTTTTCTTTTCCATACTTTTCTTTATATTTTTATAAGATTTTGTTGCTTGAAGTTCCCATTGAAGGACAAAAGAAAAAAAGAAAGAAAGTTTTACTGGAAACTAAACTTCAGGGAAGTGGTGAAATAACACAAAGCATTTTGGATTATGTAGTAGAAACTACCAAACCAATTTCTCCTGCCAATCAGGGTATCAAAGGTAAGAACCTTGTCTTCTGTGCGATGTATGTCCTCCAGACATTAATGTCAAGAAACCAATATATAACTTAAAACTTTTGCCATTTTCCATCCTATTCAGAACCTAAAAAGTTTAAGAAAGAAAAAAAAAAGCAGGAAGACAAAGCTGCTTTGAGAACCTTCGTGGCTTTGGCAGAAACCAAAAATTGTGAAATGCTGAGTATTTAGGTTATTTGGTACAAACTGCTTATTCTACTGAAAGAAGGGAGGGAAATGGAATAAAGCACTTATAATAACAATTCAGTTCAATTAAATACCGTTAAGCACCTAGGGTATGCCATTTGAGGACGTTCTAGCAAAGTTTCAAAAGCAAAAAAGTCCCTGATAGGAGTGAATGAGGACTTGCCCTGGGAGTAGTCCTGTGACCTTAAAGAGGTGAGCTATAATTGGCATTATAATCCGGGAGACTTGGTAATCAATTAGATGGGAGAGATGAAGGAAAGGCAAGGCTCCAAAATAACACTAAGGTTTTAAACGTGGGAAATTTACTTATAGATCCATAGGATCGAGGGTCATTGGAAAGAACAGAGACTCTCAAGTCAAAACACCTGGGCACAGAGCCTGGCTTGGCTACATCCTACCTTGGGCCAGTCACTTCCCTGGGATGTTTATTTTCTCATCCATTAAAAAAGTAAAAAAAGGGGGGTTAGAATGTGTCATCCCTAAGGTCCTTCTCAGTTCTCAATCTTTGATTAGAGATTATAGGAATGTTCCACATCAAGTTGTCTTGAAAACATTCTTTTACAATAATCCTCTTGACATTTTATAATGAACCTCATCTTGACATCACAGCCACTGTCCTCTCATTCGGTCATCGACCAAGACCACATCATGTGATTCTCAGTGATTTGAGCCCTAGTGGTATGGGAATGCTTATTGCGACCACATAAGTTAGCATATGTGCATAAATCATCCTCCTGTGGAACCAGCTGCTCCCTGTAATATTTCACCTTTTTTTCACTGTCAACAACTGATGACATTTGGCAGAATATGCCCATATTTACTAAGACAGGAAAATATGTTAATATATTTTAGAAAGATGCCATTTGCTGAATGACCCAGTCATTCAGAACTTTGTCAAAATATAGAATGACTGTTAGTAATACAGCTGATTCCACAAACCACACAGTGAATTACCTCATAGTTATAATTAAATAATACATGTTTATAATGTATATAATTACAGTGCTCAAAATGGCAATTAAAAGAAGTGTCACAGCTGTATTGTGGGCAGCAATTGAAGAGGGAAGATCAAGCCTGAGAGCCAGGCCAGGCCATATTACTGATGTAAAAAAATGGTCACAACAGGGAAGCCCACTTTAGTTTTGAACGATAAGGCCTCCTGGTACTCTGAGTCCAAAAGAAGAAGCTGAAGCCTAAGCTGAAGGAACAAACCCTCAGGTGCTTTTTGTCCAGCCAGGTAAAGGGATGTTAGTGTTGGAAAGTTGGAAATAAAGGGGAGACAGGTACCAGCCGAAACAGAATTGAAGGCTGAGGTTCAGGTTCCAGGTTATCATACTGGGCTAGAGGATCTTGGCAGCTTTCAAATGGGAAATGAGAGACTATAAAACAGAATCTAGAAAAACTGGGAACAGAGGCTCACCATCTAGTACAGGTCAGCAAATCCATGTGACTGTGAAACCAGAGTCAAGCAGAACTGCCCTGCTTTTAATCATCATTTCCTCATTTTGAGTAATCCAGTCTGCAGAGCACGTAATGTTTTCTGATGTGATAGGGCTGTACAAATCCCTGTGGCTGGTGAATCTACAGCATAGTGAAGTCCTTTGGGGAGTCCTCAGACTTCTAATGAAGTGGCCACTATGTACCATTTGATTTTATTTTCTGGCATGTATTTCCTGGCCTAAAATAATTAGTGTTAGTTTTAAGATTAAAAAAAAAACCTTAAAATATTTTTATAAGATTTGTTGGGTTTTTTTTTAAATTCAGGACTGAATTCTTATTGCATTGAAATGGGAATAATTCAGGGAAATGATAAAATAAAATGGATATCACTTTTTTTTTAAAGAATAGCAAAGGCAGTCCTTGTTTTATTTCCTTAGAATTCCATTAGAAATATCTTTATTTATCCCCTCTTGTATTTTGTTAAAATTTTCTATTTTGCAAAATACTTAAGTCATTTTTAAGCAAGAATATACTATAATTTCTCACACCTGCTGCATGTATTTATCCACATGTCCTTCTTGTGGCTTATCAAGAAACTAGCCTAACTGCTGTTCTTTTATGCCTTGTCGGTGCCACAAGCCCTTTTCTTGAGATGAGGAAACTTGTTATAGGGAAAGTGGAAGGTTCCCTGGTCCAGCTGCAGGACAGGAATGAAAATGGAACAGCAAGGCCATAGACATGGGAAAGGGATCTCAGAGGATGAAATTGTTAGGATGAAATTTGTGTGACCCTCTGTGCAGGACCAGAAAAAGAAATTTTTAAAAGTTTAAAGCAGCAATATCCCAGCCTCTAGTCCCCTGCCACCCCCCCAAAAAAAAAAGGATTTTTAGAAGAAGGCTGGGGACAAGAAGGGAGACATTATATAGAAGAGGAGATTCAGCCAGCCTTATAGTCAAATGCTGATTGCATGACATTTCTTCTTCCAGCCAGCCTGCTGTATGCACCTCCTCCATGGGCAGACTGTTAAGGCTTCGAAGTGTTTACCCCTTGAAACACAGGAGCATCCCTGATACCCAGCCTGAAGGGCCCTGTCCTGATAAACAGCTACCCCATTCCCTAACTGGATCAAGGTTACTCCCTTGCTCCACATATCAAATTCTCCTGCTGAAGAATTAGGCTATGGCCCTGAACTAGCTGGGTTCATTATCTCTGTTATGAATATTCTTCATTGTTGTAGTAATGTGTTTTGTCGGTTCTGTTTTTGCAGATTTAAGAGTTGACTATATCCTGCTAATTGGATTTTTCTTTAAAGTTGGGTCCTATTTTGTCCATAAATTTTTTAATGCTCAAGATTTATTAAATTGAATAATTTAGGTCTTTTTATACTGGTTGCATTTTTTACACATTAAGGAAAACGAGTGGTATTGATGAAGAAATTTCCTCTTGATGGAGAGAAAGTGGGCAGAGAGGCATCTTTATTTATTGTTCCATCAGTTGTCAAAGGTACAGTTTTCTTTTGAATTCATATAAACTTTAGATACTAAATTAATGTGCATTGAAAAATTTGTATGAATGTTAATGATGATGATGCTTATAGTCTAAAAACATGCATATCAAAGAAAGCAATCAGTTCTGGTTTCAATTTAGAGAAAGTAATGGATAATCAAAATGAAGTTTGGGACAAATTTTATTCTTTATTCTTTTAAACTATGGAATAGAAAGGTAACCCAAAGAAAAGGTAGCATAGGAGTTAGTTTTTAACAGCAGTCAATTCATAAGCAAGAACTTTCTTACAGGGAGACAGGAGAGAAGTAGGTACATATTTATGAATCAACAGGACATGGTGACAGTCTGCTTCATATGTGTAGCAATGAGAAGAACACCCTCCTAAAAGGGAAACTGTGACCTGACAAAAATCAGTGGCCATAACTAAAAAATGTGAAAAATGTGTTTTGAATCCAGGCTTAATCAGAGATTGGTTTGTATAGGGCTAACCTGTGTTAGGCCTGACAGTGGTAGCATGAAAGGCCGCCTAACATAATGACTAGAAACTGGCCTTAGAGTCAGAAAATCCTGGGTTTAAGTCTCACTTCTTATATGCACTGGTTTTGTGAAGACACTTTATCTCTCAGGTCCCCCACAAATCCATGGGACTAAATTGCAAGTCAGTGCTGATCTGCTTTTAGGAGAGAGAATTTCTTCACCAAGCATTTTGTATACCAATGAAATCACAGGTCTCAACCAGAAAAACTGTTATTGGCACATTAGCCCATTCTGGTCTTCATGTGTGCTGTCCTTAGGAAGTGGAGTATAGCTTCTCTCTTTTACCCAGAGTTAAAGTTTGGCCTTTATCATATTTAAGAGGGGGCAGCTAGTAATGCAGTGGATAGAGCACTGGCCCTGAAGTCAGGAGGACCTGAGTTCAAATCTGTTCTCAGACCAAACACTTGACATTTACTAGCTGTGTGACCCTGGGCAAGTCACTTAACCCCAATTGCCCTATAAAAAAATATTAAAAAAATAATAATAACAAATTAATTAATTAATTAAAGAAGATTCCCAAGAGTAAGAATGTTTCCAAGCCATTGAGCCAGAGTTAACAAATTGCTGTCAAAATCTTCCAGGTTTCTTTGTAAATAATATTGTATTCATTTCGGGAATGACCTGCTGTTTGATATATACTTTGCAATTTTAACAAAGTGTTATTTTAAAATGAAGAATTTATATAACCATAAGTCTTTCATGAGAGTCTGATTACTTTTTTCATCCCTTTTTTAGATAATACTAAATATTCATATAGTCCAGGATGTCCAGTTTTCTACTGTTTACAAGACATCATGCGAGTCTGTAGTGAATCCAGCACTCATTTTGCTACTCTTACAGCAAGAATGTTAATTGCCCTGGATAAGTAAGAAATGTCATTAGAAAAAAATGTCAAATTACATAAAATATTCTCAGAATACTCTTCAAACATGAAAAAAAAACTGTAGCTTATAGCCAGCTTTTGAGAGTACCATGGTAATGTAACATGCTATTTTTGTATATATGTTTCTGAATTCTCTTAAGTTGTTGATTGGTACTGGTAGAGATAGTTTCCTCACCAGGAGTTCCCCATACAAATGTAATCACAGGTCCAGACACAAACACACAAATGTTTTAGACAAATCTCAGGACAGATTTTATTGGTTTGCAGCAGATTGTCTCAATTCTTCAAAATGATGACAAGGAAGGCAGTTTAGATGGATCAGTGGCCTAGGACCCTACTGTGGGGCAGGTTTGATAATAGTCTACCAGGGAACAAGTCACTTAACCCCTACACCATTAATTTTCCATTAGTGAAATAAAGCTGCCACCCAGTAATGCTACAGTGATGTTATAGAGATTAACATAATGAAAGTTACAAAGTACACCCTACTTTTTAAAAAGAAAGTATTATTATCACTAATGTAAAGATAGAATATTAAAAAGAAGTATGGGGGCAGCTAGGTGGCGCAGTGGATAGATCACCAGCCCTGGATTCAGGAGGATCTGAGTTCAAAACCAGCCTCAGACACATAACACTTACTAGCTGTGTGACCCTGGGCAAGTCACTTAACCCATTGCCTAGGCCCCCCCCCAAAAAAAAAGAGGTATGTTATTGTGTGCCTTAAGCAACACAAAACCAAAGCAAATTACTTCACTAGTCACAATAATCAAGACCTCCTTCAAGGCAGTTTTAGTATATGTTGTTGCAGGGTTGTCCTGTAAGTAGAATATTGGCTTGTTCATCTTCACTGCTGAACAAGGACTGCTGTGGTTTGTCCTTCCTGTTTTTCAGGTGGTTAGATGAGCGACACGCACAATCTCATTTCATTCCAGCTTTATTCCGACCTTCTCCTCTTGAGCGGATAAAAACGAATGTCATCAACCCAGCATATGCCACTGAACCCAGCCAGACAGAAAACTCACTTCATATGGGCTATAGTGCATTAGAAATAAAAAGTAAGATGTTAGCCTTGGAAAAAGCAGATACTTGTGTCTATAACCCTTTGTTTGGGTCAGATCTCCAGTATACAAACAGGGTAAGTAAGCATTTGAAAGAATTGCCACTTCTATTTTCAAAAGCAGTTGAATGGTGTCCATAAGTGCCCATTTGTTTTTCTCTATAAAACCTTAATATGAGTTATGCACATCAGAATAACAGGTATTAGTGCTTGTTTTGTTTGAGAGATTTGTCACTTACATAGTTCAAATTTTTGGTTCTTTTCTCTTATTTTACCAGGTAGATAAAGTGGTAATAAATCCATACTTTGGCCTTGGAGCTCCAGATTATTCAAAGATTCAGATTCCTAAGCAAGAAAAATGGCAGAGAAGCATGAGCAGTGTTACAGAAGACAAGTACTGTTTTGCTTTTATTCTACTTTCCCTCTTTTTCTACAACCCAGTGCTAGAATTACTGTTTAAAGTTCAGTATACCCAAATAATATAGTCTATCCTCCTCTACAGTTCTCTGATCCCTTGCTGGGAAATAGAAGTGACCCTGGGTTCTTGAATCCTATGTCCATGAAGCACAAGCTGGGGCGGGTTCTACCAAGCTAGAAAAGCTTTGAGTCTGAGCCTCATGTTGAATTTTGTCACCTAAAGACCAGCCTAACTTGTTGGTTGCAAGGTGCCATTTCTACACTCACCACATCTCCCAACCAGTCTTGAATACTGTCTGCCTTGTCATAGAAGAGCTGCCATCTGCATCAGTGAAAAGGAAGCACTCATACCCATTAAACCATGATATATGAAATATTAATGAATATTCACATAGAATCAGTCATTCTTTTGCTTAAGCTTAAAACTGATATTTAATGCCTATTAGTATACTAAGTATTCAACTACGCCCACTTTTTTGTTTTAAAGTACATTTTGAATTGCACTTCTTTTATCATTATTAGAGAACATCAGTGGGTAGATGATTTTCCTCTTCATCGAAGTGCCTGCGAAGGAGATTCAGAATTATTAAACCGGCTTCTCAGTGATAGTTTTTCAGTAAACCAGCTAGATAATGACCACTGGGCACCTATTCATTATGCATGCTGGTAAGTCTCTTTCTTTAAAAATATTGTTATATTCTACTTTTTTGTGATTTCAGTGTTATTTAAATTGTAATTATTTAATGTTTCTTTCATTTCTACAATATCCTAGTACTCTGTATAATGATTTAAAAAATCAAAAGATACCAGTCACTACCTTGAGGAATTGATATTTTCACAGTGTTCCCATGTACTTAGTATATTTGATACTGTAACCACTTGGCAGTAATTAGTGTTGGAATATTAGTAGGTACCTGTATAACAGGAAGAGAAGATGGGCTGGTCACCTGGCCAGAACAGAGGATGACAAGTAGGCAGCTAGAATACTCCCCTGACACTTTGGATGTGAGGAAAGAGGAGGGACTCCCTAGGGCCAGCTTTGGAAAGAGCGTAGACAAATGTCTCACAGGATAGGCAGGATTGATGGATTACAATCTGGATCACTGGAGAGAACTCCCAAATGGGTGAGATTGCAAATCTGTTAGAATATTTATAAGGCCTTTCTGCAAGTTGCTGGGTAAACAAAGATTTAAAAAAAATAGCATAAGTCCTTGCCTTCAGAAACTTTTATTCTACCAGGGAAAGAAGGATGAGATGTGGTGGGAAAGGATATGACTAGTACCTCGGATAAGCTAATACAAGGTAGAGAGTGATAGGGGTAAGAATGAGATTCAAATAAAATGCCCTGTGTAAAGGCAAGAGAGAAAATACTTTGGGTTGTGTTAGATAAAGGAAAGCTTAATGGAATAGGTAGCACCTGAACTAAATCTGGATAGAAGATAAAGATTGTAAGAAGCAGAGATGAGGAGGAATCACACTCCGAGCATGAAGCATGTCCCATTCACGTACAGAGACACAAGAGCACATCAGGCTCAATTCAGCTGGTCATCAGCTTTTACTAGAACCTAGCTAGAACGCATAGTAATATGAAGGCTGGAGAGACATTTTAGTCAGATTGTGGAGGATCTTAAAAGCCAGGTGAAGGGAGTATGTTTTATCTAAAGGCAGTAGGAAACCCCCCAAATGAATATGGCCTTGACATGGTCAGAGCTGCACCTTAGGAAGATTATTCTGGTAGCTTTGTGAAGTATGGATTGAGAAAGTGTCTACTACCTAGAAAATCGTGGAAAAAGCACTAGCTCTTCAGTCTTCTCTTTAACTCTTCACTTTCACTTTCACCATCCCTTTCCTTACTGCCTGTCCGGTTTCTACACTGTCTGCAAGACTCAGACTCATTTCCCCCTTTTCCTGTAAAATCTTCCCAGACCTTAGCTTAAAATGCTCTCTCCCTCATTTGAACTCCTATGTTATTTTTTGTGCTCTCTTATAACATTTCCTATGCTGTTGTAATGGGTTGTTAATTAAACCTTGTATAGCTTATTTTTTTTATCATGTTTGTATCTTATTTCTTTATCTGCATTGTAAACTCCATTAGAGAAAGGACCATGCATACCTCTTTGTCTGTTCCACAGGATTTAAAAGTATCTTGCACTAATAGACACCGAATGAATATTTGTTGATTTGATTTTTATTTTTACTTCATTTACTTCATTAATCTAATTTGTTGATACTAGTTTATATCAGATTATTGGGGTCACATGAACATTCTTCATGAGCTTCTTTCTTGAGATTATTTTGCAGTTATTGAATTGGGCCCTTAATTGTTTATTAGCTTGAATTGCCTCATTTAAAAATTCTGATATATTTATTTATCTATACCTTCTAAGTGAGCAACTAGGTGTTTCAGTGGATAGAATGCTGGTCCTAGAATCAGGAAGACTCATCCTCCTGAGTTCAAATCTGGCCTTACACACTTACTAGCTATATGACCCTGGGCAAGTCAATTAACTGTTTGCCTCAGTTCTGTAAAATGAGTTGGAAAAGGAAATGGCAAACTACTCCAGTATCTTTGCCAAGAAAACCCCAAATGGGGTCACCAAGAGTCAGATGTGCCTGACCAACAACAGAGGCAGGCACCTTCTCATATTTTATTTTACTTCATATTTCTCCGCACTTCCACTCCCCTTCAATTTGTATTGGAAGTTATGTCTTCTCCCAGTTCATCAGAAATAGAAACATTCAGCTTGAACCAGAACTACTCAGAAGAAACCCCTAGCCACCATACACATTTACGTCAGTGTCTTAATCCCTTGTTATATGTCCTAGAAAACCTTAGTGATCTTTGGAATATTGTCTAAAAATAGGATTAAAAAATAAATCACAGGTGATAATTTTAGTTAATAAGTTCTGTTTTCTGTAGGTATGGGAAAGTTGAGGCCACTCGCATGCTGTTAGAAAAAGGAAAGTGTAATCCAAACCTCTTAAATGGACAGCTTAGTTCTCCCCTTCATTTTGCTGCTGGAGGAGGACATATTGAAATAGTGCAAATCCTTCTAAACCATCCAGAAGTGGACAGAGTAAGTTACTTTCACTTTTTGAAAATAGTGACTACACAAGTAATAATACCACAGTATTCAGTTGTAGCCCTTCCAAGAATCTCACATTGAGAAGCAGTCATCATTTTATACATGTAGATGAAAACAATTCATATTTATATGCAAGTTTTTCCTTTGTACTTAAGAATTTAACCAATATCCTAGTAATTCATATAAAATGTTCCTTCTGCTTCTAGGATGCATATTAGTATTTCTTAAAAGAAAAATAAAATAACTTTTGTAAAACATTGGTTGTGTCTGTAATCAGAAAACAGTAGCCACTGAATGAAGTTTTTGAACGTTAGTCATTGACTGTGTATTTAACATACCCAAAGTAGTAATTACTTCAAAAAACTATATAGGTGACAGACTGAAGACTGAAGAACATAGTGCAGTAAACAGTAGCTATGAATTAAGGCACAACGATACTGTCCTACTGTTATATTATTGGGAATCAAAGTTTAAGGTATTGGGGAAGCTCTAGGAATCATTAATCAGCCTTCTGCTTAGAAATAGCATGATGCTTGCAATTCCCTTTTTTTTCCCTTCTTATTTGCAGCACATTACTGACCAACAAGGAAGGTCTCCTTTAAACGTCTGTGAAGAAAACAAACAGAATGACTGGGAAGAGACTGCAAAACTATTGAAGGAAGCCATAAACAGACCAGTAGGAGTTGTCTTTTTAAATAGATTTGACCTGTGGAATGTTTTTGGGGTGTGTGTGTCTGTGTCTGTGTTTGTTTTTGTTTCTTGCTTTTTGGTGAGGCAATCAGGCTTAAGTGACTTGCCCCCAGGGTCATACAGCTAGTAAGTGTCAAGTGTCTGAGGGCAGATTTGAACTCAGGTCCTCCTGACTGCAAGGCCAGAGCTCTATCCACTGCACCACCTAGCTGCCCCTATGTATGTTTTTAAGTTCATCTGTTACTTATGAGTCTTTAACAGGGTAGCACAGATTACTGATGGCAAGTCATTGAATGTGCAAATTCCAGGTCTGAGGCAAGGGACCAGGTATTATTGCTGGGTGATTAGAATGTACATGTTAGTAAACACTCATTAAATTACTCTGATGACTCCATATTTGTGATTTTTCTAGCTGTACTGACATTTACTTTTGCATTGCAAACACTTTCTTTCCATTTGATAGGAAAAAACAAAAATATAAAATTTGTAGAAAGAATGTTCAAAATACTTAAGATATTTTAATTTTTTGGTAGAGTTAACTTTATTTTTAGGTAGAGTTAACTACTTCAGAGGCTTCAAAAATTTCTGTTTTCATTAAAGCAAAACCTATTCCTTAAGATTTCTACTAAGGAATACTGTGTTAAAACTATTTCAAGTTACTGCATGTGCTTAAAAGTTATATATTAAATCTTTTAAAAATTCGCTAATTCATTTTCATTCAGGGTAGCTTACCACTCATAGATAGACAAATCAGATGTCATTGCATTTGGTTGTTTCTTAGAGTGATCAACAGGTTTTCGTTTGTTCCTTTTGCATGGTTCTGGATTTTTGTTATTGTTCAGTTGTTTCGGTTATGTCTGACTCTTCGTGACCCCATGTGGGGTTTTCTTGCTATTTGCTTTTCCAGCTCATTTGACAGATGAGGAACCTGAGGCAGACAAGGTTAAGTGACTTGCCTAGGGTCACACAGCTCATAGGTGTCTAAGGCAGAATTTGAATTCGTGAAGATGAGTCTTCCCGACTCCAAGCCCATCACTCTATTCCCTGTGCCACTTAGCTGCCCCTTCTAGATACATATTGCTGTTTAATGTATTATTTTACTGAAAGGGCTGAAATTTATTGTAATTTGAATTTACAGTGTTTCTCAAGCACTTAAAGAATCTATGATTTTTCCATTGTAGGTACTCTCTCCAACAATATAGATCACAGATCTTCTCCTACTTTGGGTTACTCTCCTACTTAAGAGTTTTGAGGGCTGGTAAACCCACCACCTGTGAGGCGGAGAGAGGCACTTTATCTATCCTAAGTGATCTGACACAGTGGATTAGTGAGCCTCAGATGAGGCGTAGCACAGCATGGGGCAGACTACTCTAAGCTTTTGCTTCTTGGTAGGACTTTTCATAATGTAGGCTTTGCTGGTGTGGCTTTTAAGAACATAGGATCACTTCCACACCACAATAAGGTAACAACTGAAGGAAACTCCGATATTCATAAGAATAATGTTGATATTAGACTTTTAGGTCAAAACAAACCATTTGACAAACTATAGAGAATAATTGGGGGGGGGCACTTGGGGTTAAGTGACTTGCCCAGGGTCACACAGCTAGTAAGTGTGAAGTGTGAAGGCGAGATTTGAACTCGGGTCCTCCTGACTTCAGGGCCGGTGCTCTATCCACTGTGCTACCCAGCTGCCCCCAAGAATAATTTTCTAAAGAAAACTCATATTCAAATTGTTATATTAAGCATTATCAACCCAATATTTCTTTCTGATCAAGCAACAAGTATTTGTTGAAGGCCTTCTCTGTGCCTTGCATTTTGCTGGTGTGTTTAAGGATTCAGAAGAATAAAATGTGGCCCCTGCCCGAGCCATCTAGGAAAATGAGGCTAACGTATGGGAAGCCTAGCAAGTAATATGAGGCAGTGTATAGTCGGATGCCCAGTGCCCATGTTGGAGACTTCTAATGATTTAGACCTTGGACTGAATCTAGTTACATCCCATTGGGTAGGGATCATTCTGTAAGCTTTGAGAGGCAGAACTTGAACGCATAGTTTCTACCTCAAAGAATTTATACTACTCTGTCCATACCCAAATATAGACTCTCCCTCTAGATGTAGCATTTTTGACCACGAATACATCACTAACTTGACTTGTTAGTTACAGCATACCTTGAATTTGTAGTGGGTGGTAGGAACTCAGCCTTGTGACTTTTCTCCAGTAACTCTGAGCAGCCTAGAGCAACAGAAAGGCTTAGTATCTGGATTTAAAGGACCCTGGTTCAAATCCTGGACGAGTCCGAAGATCTTACCAGGGCTTGAATTGAATCCAGCTTGACCTGTGGTTCTCTGTTTAGAATGTTAGAAGGTCAAGGGGACAAGGGATGTAAGTGTAGTATAGCTAGTGGCTCACCTGCAAACTTGTTTCTTCAGGGCCTCAGTCTCTCCTAACCATAGTCTTTCCCAAGAATGCTCAGCATTTGGCTGTGGACACCTTTTCTATGGGTTTTTCCTTGCAGCCATCTGAAAATTTTGTACACTTTGTTTCCACTCATCCCTAGATTCTTTAATCTTCCTTTCACAATCGTTCTTGTTTGCAGATATCTTTTACATAGGATTTGTTTGAACATGTTTCTGTATTTGCAACATAGTATAATATACCTTAATTTGTCAGATGACAGTATTAATTCTCTGAGTACATAATAGAAGTCAAGGCTAGGGAGAAACGGAGAGGTCACTGTTAGGATTACAGTAAACTCCTGTTTCTAGCACAATTTGAGCTAGTTCTGTGTTATCAGTCTGTGATACAACATACATTATATCTGATAAGGGAAGGGAGAAGCATTTTTATCCATAATGAGATCTCCTGTCCTGTTCCTCCCTACCCCCAGCTCTCCCAGCCATGTTTATGGCGTGGGGAGTGAGCCCTGGGTCAGGCCATTGGGAGCCTGGGTTCTTGGGCACTTGATAATGAGGCTTTACAGTTCACATTACATGGTTACAAAGTGTTTGGTTTTTCTTTTTTTCAGAGGAGAGGAGGGAGGAAGAGAAAACTCTTGTTATATGAAAAAAAAAATTTAATTCTTTGAGATACATAACGTCACTGCCCCATAATGTCCACTCTTAGTGTCACTCAGTCATATTAAATCCTGAGAAAAGAGAAGAGGACAGAGTGGGGAAACTGCCAGAGGAAACAAATATTGGCAACCCTCATCTTTTACAATTCTCTTCAATTTGCCTTCTGAGTTTACTCAACATTGCTTAGTTTCTCATGTGCTTGACTTTTACTTGTTCAAATTTGCTTTTGGCACATGCCATCTAGTGGCAGAAGGGATAATTAAAAGGGACTTTTTTTGTTTTTGTTTTGGGTTTTGCTCTTCTGGGAAGAAGGGAGTGAAACGACTGTGGAAAGACAAAAGATATCAGTAAGCTGTATTTTTAAAAGCCTTTCAACATCTGAAAAAGTTAGGTTAATTAAAAATTTTTGTTACACCTTACACATTTAGTTTTAGACCAAATTTATTATACAGCAGCATTTTAATGTGATATGTGCGTATGTATTCACTATACTGCACTGCCTCTCATACACAAACACACACATACACACATGCACACAATCAACAAACATTTGTTAAGTGCTTCTGTGTCTGTACTTTAGAGAACATAAGAGCCCCATATGCAATCAGGGAATTCTGTACATTTATGCATATGTTTTAGACTTGGAGCAAATCCTATTACTTTAAATTATTACGGAGTTTTTAATATTACCCCCCAATAATCATACTATTGTCATGCAAAAATATTGGATTTTCCCAGTAGTCAATACACAGGGAGCCAAAGAAGCTGTGTCAGTGGGAATTTCCTCCACCAAAAGAGGTCACTACTCTTCTGTGATTTACGAGATGAGTCTTAGTTAGGGAGACCCCTAGAGGTTGTCTGAATTACCTAAGGTCACACAACGACCAAATGTTAAAAACTAGATTTTTAACTCAGAACTTCATGACTCCAAGCCCAGCCTTCTGTCTTCCTCTTTCAGTGGTCAGTAATCAAACCATTTCCTGCCCTAGCTCTTTTAAATTGGGCCTTCAGTTCACACCTATTGGGAATCATTCACATTCATGCCTTCCAAGCATTGTAGAAACCTCCTGGGCCACTCTGAGTCTCAGATAGCCACTTTCCTTTCTCAGCTCCATATCTGATTTGAGGCAGCTAGGTGGCACAGTGGATAGTGCACTGGCCCAGGAGTCAGCAGGACCTGAGTTCAAAACCGGCCTCAGATGGAACACTTGACACTTACTAGCTGTGTGACCCTGAGTAAGTCACTTAACCCCAACTGCCTAAAAATTTAAAAATTTAAAAAAAAAAGAAAAGTAGAAAGAAAAGAAAGGATCACCTGTGTAACCATGGCGGTCAGGAGCAGGGTTGGTGGCAAGAAGAGAAGGTTTGTAGCAGTTGCTGTGGGGATGAAATAAAAAGCTGATAAAGGTAAAATAGGAGAGTTGAGCATCAGTGACAACCCAGTTGGTGTCAACTATCATGAATTTGTAGTAGGTGAACTCAACTCAGTTTTTTCTTCATTGAGACTTAGCAGCCTGGAGCAGAAGTAACTATGTTAGATAATGTTTCTTGCTCAAGGATGAAGGGTTCATGTGTTAAAAATGGTAGACAGTCAGGGGACAAGGGTTTGGAGGTCTTCCTCCCTTAGTAAAGGAACTAAAGCACCCCTAAAGAAGATGATCTTGCAAAGGTCCACATTCTGAAACGTCAAAGTTCTGAATCGTATTATTGTAATTCTGAGGTGGATTAATTTTCCAGATTATACCACAGGTTGATACCTCCGGTTGTATTGGCCCCCCACCCTTGGTCATCCTGCCTGTGGTACAAGTGGTATACCTATACTACCTTCTCTAGAACCCTTACCCCTATTCACCCCTTAGTTCCATTCCAACCCAATTTACCCATTGCTTAAAAGCCACTTCCACCATGCCTTTTGGGTTCTCCACTCTTTTGTCCACAAACTCCCTACACCCTTGAGTTTCCATCTTTAACAAAACTCTGGCTTTCCTCTGTGCCACCACATTCCCTAAAACCCCCTTTTCTCCCATTCTTCCCTTCTCACAAGGCCAAGAAAGTCTGAAATCTGTTTCACCCTCCTCTCATCCTTGCTTCTATCATCTCCTGACTTGTAAGTCATTAACCAAACTTTTTTCAGTGAGTTTAGACCACTAAAGAGAGACTCTTGAAGATTTCTCCTATGCTAACTTTTGGGAATTATTAAATTTTTTTAAAAATTTCTTTTTAATTTTTTTATTAACTTATTTTTAGTTTTCAGCATTCACTTACGTAAGCTTTTGTGTTTTAAATTTTCTCCCCTTCCCTCCCCAAAACACCATGTGATCTCATCCAAGAACTCTCTACATATACATTCCTATTAAACATATTTTCACATTAGTCATGTTGTAGAGAAGAATTAGAACCAATAGGAAGAACTACAAGAAAGTAGAAACAAAACAGAAAAAAAAAAGAGCAAATAGTATGATTCAGTCTTCATTCCAACTCTATAGTTCTTTCTCTGGATGTGGATAGCATTTTCCATCATGAGACCTTTGGAGATGTCTTAGATCCTTGTGTTGCTGAGAAGGGTTAAGTTTATCAATATTAGTCATCGCACAACATGGCTGTTACTATGTACAGCATTCTCCTGGTTCTGCTCATTTTGCTCAGCATCAGTCCATACAAGTCTTTCCAGATTTTTCTGAAGTCGACCTGCTCATCATTTCTTATAGCATAGTAGTATTCCACTACATTCATATACCACAATTGTTTAGCCATTCCCCAGTTGATGGGCAGCCCCTCAATTTCCAGTTCTTGGCCACCACAAAAAGAGCTGCTATAAATATTTTTGTACATGTGGGTCCTTTTCCCCTTTTTATGATCTCTTTGGGATACAGCCCTAGAAATGCTATTGCTGGTTCAAAGGGTATGCACATTTTTATAGCCTTCCGGGCATAGTTACAAATTACTCTCCAAAATGGTTGGATCATTTTACAACTCCACCAACAGTGCATTAGTGTTCTAATTTTCCCACATCTTCTCCAACATTTATCATTTTCCTGTTTCCTGCCAATCTGATAGATGCGATGTGGTACCTCAGAGTTGTTTTAATTTGCATTTCTCTAATTAGTAGTGATTTAGAGCATTTTTTCATATGACAGGAATTGTTAAATTTCTTGCAGAAAGCTTGAGGAGGGGACTCTATGTCTGTGAATATTTATTTTGTGTGACAATGGGTAAGTCACTTAATCTTTCTCATTTCACTTATATGAAAAATGAACCACTTTCTTTCTCGGGCCACAAAGGGAATTGATTATATCCTGAAGTTGTATGTAAATGGTTAGAGGACCTAGCGGTTGGATAATTCTCAACAAACGTAGCCAACAGATTCTTACTTGAACACTAACCAGTCTAGATGATATTTGCATGTTAGAAATCTATTTAACGTAGCATATGGCTTTACTCTTTACTGTAGTATGAAAAGGTACGGATATACCGAATGGATGGATCGTACCGTTCTGTTGAACTAAAACATGGAAACAATACCACAGTACAGCAGATTATGGAAGGAATGCGTCTCTCTCATGAAACACAACAATATTTTACTATTTGGATCTGTTCAGAGAACCTCAGTAAGAAAAATTTTATCATATTGTAAATATTGTTGATAAGTTTAAAATGCCTTGGGGGCTACTATGTTACCAAACTGAAAATTCAGCTTTTTCAAAATGTTTCTACAATCTTATCCACTGGTTTTATTTTGCTCTTTGTACTATCTCTTCTTTGCCATTTCTTTTGTTCTATACTTATCCATTTCCCTTAAGATTAGGTAGAATTTTTAATATTAACGATCTATCCATCTGTAAAATAGAGGGAATAGTGTGTGAATCCTTACTGAGAAAAATTAATCTTATGTTTGTTTTTGGCAGATTGCTGTTAGAAATGAATATTTCTCTTTTATATTTAATGACTAATTATTGTATTAGGACCAAGGTTTTTCCCCTTTCCTACTTCCTCACCCAGAAACCAACCAATGTGGGAAATCTCTTACAAATTTACTCAGGCCGAGATCTTAACCGACAGTAAAAGGAATTCTAAGTTTGGGCTAATGGGTGCATTCCTGTTTCTCAAGACAGGTCTGGGGAAATGTTGATTCTCTCTTTATGTCTTAACAAGTGCTATGGAAATTGATGTCTCTATTAACCAAGATTCTTTTTCCATGTTTTTCCGTCATATATTCAGAATGTAGACATATTACCATATGTAAAAGAGACATGCTTTAGTGTATTAGATCACATCTCTGATTTTAAAATGAATCAATAGGAAATACCTTCTGATTGTGTGTGCTGGCTGGCCTGGCCATCTGTAAATCAAGAGGAGATGCCATTCTTCTCATTACTCTCCTTCCTGCATGCAGTTTTTTTCTCCCTATGATACAGAAACAAAGAACAAGTTTTTTTCCCAGCTTTGCTACCTCTGGCATAGTTGGGCATCTGACCCAGCCATGGGTCTGCTAATAGGGGTAAGCTTTGCAGGTGTTTCTTGAAGGCCTCCCAGATTCCTGTCACCATCCTGGTGATTCTACTATAACCACCCTTATATCTCCTTGAGTCTCCTAATTTGTATGAATTTTTAGTATTTAGATTTAACTATTTGCCTTGCACTTCCTATGCATGGATACGATTGATTCACTGTTATGTAATCATTTATAAAAGGAAAGATTTTTTTTCAGGCCTTCAGCTGAAGCCCTATCACAAACCCTTACAACATGTTCGTGACTGGCCAGAAATACTGAATGAATTGACAAATTTGGATCCTCAAAGGGAAACACCACAGCTTTTTCTAAGAAGAGATGTGAGACTTCCATTGGAAGTTGAGAAAAAGGTTTGCATATAAATCCTCTTTGCAGGATTCCATTGAAGAGATTCCATTTATTGAGAGCCTGTCATCATAGAACATTATACCAAGTCCTTGGGGACAGATACAGAAAATTTAGAGGAGCTAACCAGAGAAGCTATGAGGTAGTTGGATAAACAGAATACAAATACAGAATAAATACTTTCAAGTACTTGACAATAATTATGAAGCTACAATATAAGTGAAATTTGTAGGTTAGTACTTTGTATACTAGGTATATAAGTCCTGAGGATTTACAGAATAACGTATTGATAAGTTTTGTAGGACTGACCAGAAAATGTTTCCCTAAAGAGGTAAGTTTTAAAAAGAAGGAAGGGACAGGGATTAGTGAATATGAATGGGTAATACTTTCTAGGTGGGGGAAATTATATATTGAAAAAACAGTTGAAAGCTATTTGCAGACGTTATTGAGAACCATATAGTTTTCTTCTCTAAAGTAGAAAATCTGCCTTTGTTAGTAAAACAAAATAAGGTGGGCTAGATTGGGGTGGAATGGTGTCTGTTTAGTGGACTGCCTGCTTGTTGGGCTAGAAAGTTATTCCTAAACAGGTTTTTAAACCTGTTTTTAAACAAAATTTTAAAAATAAAAATAGCACTCAAGGAAGATTATTTTGGCTGCTGTGTGTAGGATGAATTTGGCAAGGGAAAGACCTGATGCTAAGATACACCAAATGGTAGAGAGAGGCATAAGGCTTTGATTGAAGTGGTCCCTGTCGAAATTGGACGAAAACTGATCGTTTCAAGATCAAATTACATCATGGCAGCAAAAAATATAGCCCAGATTTCCTCATCTTTTTTCTAGAGGGATTTGCATTTTAAATGTCTTTGTATATAAAGTCAAAAAAGTTCACTGTCTTTGTACATATTTATGGCAGCTAGGTGGCACAGTGGATAAAGCTTTGGGCCTGGAGTCAGTAAGACTCATCTTCCTGAGTTTAAATATGGCCTCAGACATTTACTGTGTGACCCTGGACAAGTCACTTAATCCTGTTTGCCTCAGTTTCCCCATGTTCAAAATGAGCTGGAGAAGGAAATGGCAAATCCAGTATCTTTGCCAAGAAAACCCCAAAAGGAGTCACCAAGAGTTGGACACAACTGAAAATGACTGCTAATCCATACTTTAAAAAAATCCTGCTTGCTTATATTGCTACCTAAGAGAATATCATTAACACATAAAGACAAATATATTAGCAGTCAAATGAATTTCCATGTAATGTCTGAAAAATTGCCAGCATAAAATAAAAAGTTTCATAGATATATGAAAATTCATACATTATCTAGAAATATAAATTTTTTTCTCTAGGGCTACCAAATAGGATTTTAATAATTTTGAGTTGCAATGGGAGGAAGAAGCAGAAGATGACATTGCAAATTACATCAATTACACTGTGATCAAGAGTGAATTGAATTACTTAAGTGTTATTCCTTAGCTCATCTAATTTTATGTTGTTCATATATGTCTGTTTTAACTCATGAAGCATTTATTAAGCTCTTAATGTGTGCCAGGCACTGTTGTGTAAAGCACTATGTATACAGAAGCAAAAATGAAACAGTACCTGCCTTTTGAGGAGCTTACACTCTGACAGTAATTCCTATTTATGAAGTGCCTTTCTGTACATTAGGATACAGCACATGACTTGAGGGTCAAAGAGGTAGAACACTAAGAACGGGACTGGAACAGGACTAGGAAAGGCTTTGTATAGGAAGATAGGACCTGAGTGTCTGGAAAGAAGCCTGAGAGTCCAGGAGGTGAAGGGCAAAGACATAAGGCATCCCAGGGGTAAGAGAAAGCCCATGTAAAGTTGCAGAGGCAGCAGATTAAAAATATAAGGGTATATGTTCATATTGAAAACACCCTTTTCAAATAGGTTACACTAATAATAGCTTTAATACTTACTAGTGCTTACAAATGCCAGGCACTGTGCTAAGTGCTTTACAATTATTACCTCATTTAGTCCTCACAACAACCCTGGTTGTGGGTACTGTTATTATCCCCATTTTGTATATGGGGAAACTGAGGCAAAAAGGTAAAGTGACTTGCCCAGAATCACACAGCTAGTTAGTGTCTGAGGTCATATTTGAACTCAGAACTTCTGTTCTAAGTCTAGCACTCTATCCACTTTACCACCAACTATCTAAGTAAAAGTATTTCAAATAAATGAACATTTTCATTTCAGTTATATACAGCATAAAAACAATCATTATTTTTGCCATTATAAATTAGAATCTTTGTGAAATATTTACCTTAAGTTTTGCCTGTTTTGAGGAACCAAAAGCAAACATTTCTACATAACTGATATAAATATATATTTAGAAACTTTAAAGCTTTAGTGATCTACAAAGCATAAATATAGTATAATGTTAGAAAAACGTTAGAAATATCCATATTTTTAACCTCATTAATTTCAATAGCAATACGTCACTAATGTTCAAGTTGTACTTTTATCTTTTTCCCATTAAGAAAGTGACTTTGTAACAAGAAAATATGGTATGTTAATCATACTTTTCTTTTTCCTTGTAAAGATTGAGGACCCACTAGCCATTCTTATTCTCTTTGATGAAGCCAGATATAATTTGCTGAAAGGCTTTTATACATCTCCTGATGCTAAGTTGATAACACTGGCAAGTCTACTGTTGCAGATCGTTTATGGGAATTATGAAAGTAAAAAGCACAAACAAGGTTTCCTCAAGTAAGTGTTTAAATAACATTAATTACACAAAGATATTCTGATAAATTTAAATATATTCCAGTTGCTATTAGTAACGTCCATAAGCATTTTTAAGAAGTTGGCTTGGGACAGAATTAGGCAGCTTCTTGGAGTGCAGGGGCGGGGGGGATGGGTTGTATTAGGGCTACTGACAGAAGGAAATAGCAGGGCTATTTCCTTGAACATGGTAGGCACAGTGATGGTTTTCAAAGTGGAGCATTCTGATACCGTCCAGATCAAACAGCGGGCCTTCATCAGGTACTTCCTGCATTCCAAGCACTGTGCTACATGGTAGGGATACAAAGGCAAAATTAAACCATTCCTGCCTTCAAGAAGCTTGTGTCATACAAGATTGTTTACATTATATTTAGCTAGTCACCTTGAAGTTAATATTTTCTTCCTAAAGTCTTAATCATGTTTCACTGAATCATTGTTCTTTGCTATTCAAATTATTTATTTAACATTTGTTGGTATGTTTGTTATAGTGAAGAAAATCTAAAATCCATAGTTCCAATCACCAAATTGAAGAGTAAGGCACCTCACTGGACAAATAGAATACTTCATGAATACAAGGTAAACACTTAATAGAAATGTTTAAAGCTCTTAATACACAACTTGATATTTTATTAAATTGGAATTTAAAAATATTTTTGTTTTTTATAATGAGATTTTTAAATCTCACAGCCAAAAAAATGAAGTGAATCTGTTGATGCTGTTCTTGAAACTGAGATAAATTGTGGGAAGATAAGAACTGGTTAGAGGGTTAGAGTGGAGTTGGGGAATTTGCGGCCTCAAGGCCAAGTGAGGCCCTCTTGTTTCTCAGGTAAGGCTCTTCGACTTTGGATTCAGTCAGAGGCCAAACTTAAGGAACTAGAAGGCCATATGCGGCCTCAAGGCCACAGGTTACCCACCGCTGGGTTACAGGGTCTTAGATTTAAAGCCAAAAGGGACCTCGTAGACATCTAGTCCAACCCTGTCATTTGACAGAGGGATTGTACTGCTTTATCAAATCAGTGGCCTTAGCAATCAATACATATTAGAGGGAAATGTGCCTTTAGATAAGTAACTACCACCTTTCTTGTATTCCTCTTAAAATGTATTGTTTAGGTCTGTTAGAAAATACAATTCTAGGGCACCATTAGGCACTTTATAACCAAAATCTGTTAAAATCTTCAAGACACTAATAATTTTCTCAAATTTAAATAGTCCTGGTTATGTGAAATTGCTTTCTTTGTGGCAGTCTAATGTGGTGGTTAGAGTAGCAGAATTTTATTATCATTTACCTTTTTTCTTTTCCCTCCTTCACCTTTGCTTCTAGAATCTTAGCACAAGTGAAGGTGTCAGTAAGGAAATGCACCACCTTCAACGCATGTTCCTACAGAATTGCTGGGAAATTCCCACATATGGAGCAGCTTTTTTTACAGGACAGGTATTTACAAAAGCAAGTTCCAGCAGCCATAAAGTCATTCGGGTTTATGTAGGCGTGAACATAAAAGGATTACATCTCCTCAATATGGAAACTAAGGTAAATAAATTTTCCATTGTTTTAGACAGTTCATGTGAAGTAGGACCTACCTTTCCTGTCAGTTGAAATAGCAAGTAGACTTTTAACAATCCTAATACCTCATATAAAGGCTCAAGTTTTTAAAATTTCAAATCATTTATCAATCATAACATTTTTTTTCCTGTGAGAGAAAAAAAGCTTAGTATTTAGAATAATACAGAACATGAGGCTCTAAATTTAGTCAATGCATTATGCCCATTTCTATTCAGTAGCACCATCATTTTTCCCCCCTAATAATATTTTTTTTCTAATTGCATGTAAAGATAGTTTTCAACATTCATTTTTGTGAAATTTTGAGTTCCAAATTTTTCTCCTTTTCCCTTCCCCCTCCCAAAGACAGCAAGCAATCTGATATAGGTTATACATGTACAATCCTGTGAAACATATTTCCACATTAGTCATGTTGGGAAAGAAGAATTGGAACAAAAGGGAAAAACCAGGAGGAAGAAAAAAAAAGTGAGAATAGTATGCTTCCATCTACATTCAGACTCCATAGTTCTTTCTCTGGCTGTGGATAGTATATTCCATCATGAGTCTTTTGGAGATGTCTTGGATCATTGTATTGTTGGGAAGAGCTAAGTCTATCATAGTTAATCATTGCAAAATGTTGCTGTTGCTATATCTCTTGCACCACCGTTTTTATTTTTTACTTTTTTAGGCAGTTGGGGTTATGTGACTTGCCCAGGGTCACACAGCTAGGAAGTGTCTTTGGTCTGAGACCGGATTTGAGCTCAGGTCCTCCTGACTTCAGGGCCAGTGCTCTTTCCACCGTACCACCTAGCTGCCCCAGAAGTTATCCTTCTTAAACAGAATGTACTGCATGTGGTTTAATCTTTTTTTGCTGACCAAGGATTGTCATTATGACCTTTTCATTTTATTATGCTGTAAGTGTAATTCTTCCATAGGGGTCTCCTTAGAAGCTGCCTTGTAGCAAAGAGGCAGCCTTGAGTTCCCAAAGGCAGAATCTGTTTCTAGGATACAAACAGACTCTGGCAGACGTGCCAGCTTTTAAGGAAAGGCTTTTCAAGGGCTTGTATGTCTTTCATTAACATACCAACCTAGTGACATTTGGACAGGTTGATGGCAAGGGTGGCCACAGGGTATAAGCACTTCAGCTTCAGCATTTTTCACCAGACCATTTACATCCATGAAAAGATTGCAGTCTGTTTTCATACAAAGTCATCACTTTTGAACTTAGATATTTGAAATATAGATGAAAGCATAGCGAAGTACAGGCGTAGAGGGAGAATTAGTATCAACTCCAGGCGTTTCCTTGGAACTTTTTTCCCAGGAAAAAGTCCATGATGGTGGTAGGTCACTTGCCTCAGTATTAAGTGTAAAATGAAGAATGTATAGCTCATAACCTTTTCAAACAATGTAAATTAGCTAACTTTCTGCGAAAATATTATTAAAGCAAAGGCCAAAACAGTCTTCTCTCAAATGATTCTCATCTTTCAGGAAAAATTTTTCTTCTGACATATAGAGAATTATTTAAAGGGGGGGGGAGGATGTGAGCTAACTACTTATTCCACAGTACTTTAGTGCTTAAGAATAAGCATAGGCATATTGAACATAACATGTAAGTAGTGACATAGACATTAATAGAGCCATAAAATTTTTAGAAACGTGTTATTTTAAGAGTACTAAAATATCAAAATATGTATCATTGTTACTTTTGCATTCTAACATTGTAATTGAAGAGCCCTTGTGGCCCTTTAGAAAATTGGTGTGTGTTAAAGGGATGAATTGTTATCCATATAGAAAGAAAAGTATGCTAATTTTTCAATGCACTTTTTCTTTAAAAATCAGTAAACATGTTTCTTGTTAATATGGCAGTTTCTTAGGAATAATGATTTAAAGATCACTTTCACATGCCACTATTATGGGGTTAGGATAACCCTATTCCACAAAGAGTTTTACATATAATCATAATAGCTGACATTGATGACATAACATATAATGCTTTCTACTTCTCATTTCATTTGAGCCTTTTTTTATTGTAGAACTCACTGTGGGGTAACATAGTCCTTATTACAAGTTTTCCAATCAAATGCTTAGACCTGAAAGAACTGTTTGGCTGTCACCAGGGATACCATCCAAAGTCAGTGATCATTTCTGATTTTGTTGCAGACTTTACTCATCAGTCTCAAGTATGGTTGCTTTATGTGGCAGTTGGGAGATGCTGATACCTGCTTTCAAATTCACAGTCTGGAAAATAAAATGAGCTTTATAGTACACACCAAACAGGTAGGTCCTGCTTTAATGTTAGAGATATTTGATAGAACCAAGCTGCCATATTTGTTAAAGCCCATTCTTTAGTAAGTAAAATGGTGATACTTCATTTCAAAAAGACTCTCTAGTATAATTGCTTAACTTAAAGTAATGACATATGTAAAAAGTAAGGGGCAGCAGCCTTTCTTAAATATATGAAGCTCTAGCCTTACTTCAACAAGGTAGCTCAGGTGGCTTTTGATGCCTCCTGGTTTTTCCTGTCGATTTATCTTGATTGGCCATTTTCCCTGGCTCTTCTGCCAAGGTACCAACAGTTCATCTCCTTCTTGCCAACTAGCTTCATCCAGCTGGACCACGTTTCAGTGCTTTCAGCAGCCTCAGTAGGTAAAGTCACTCATTTCTTAGTCACTCCATAAAGCTTTCTGTCAAAGAGCAGGCTGCTCTCAAAAGAATGGGGAATGTTATTTTGCCATAGATATACTTTGTACACTTTAACTTATGATCAGCTTCATACTACCATCCTATTTTGTAGGCAGGTCTCGTTGTAAAACTGCTCTTGAAGCTTAATGGGCAGTTAATGCCTAGTGAAAGAAACGAATGAAAGGCAAGAAAAATGATTCTGAAGGCATCTTGTGAACACAGATTTCTCTCACTGAAACATTCTCAGAATATCAGCTTTACCAAGATATTTAGTCTGTTGTATTATGTATGTATATTTTTTATTTTGTACAAATCTGTTACTTTGTGTATTTGTGTAACATAACTGATTTTTTTATTCTCTGATATATGCCATTTTAATTTTGACACCAAAAAAATTACTAGCAAATTATGTTAGATAAGTTAAATTTTAAACTTTACAAAGAAATTTCTTATAACTTAGAGAATTTAGAGTGTAGTTATAACAAAGTTCAAAACTTTTAATATACTTTTTTGAAGTATTATACCAGAAGATACTTGAAATTTTAAAATTTAATGAAATAAAAATGTATTTTCTATACATAAACCATGCAGCAGTATTATTTAAGACATTTTATTGTAATCTGAAAATTTTGTAACTTTTTTCCAGAACTTTGGTTAAAAAGTGTGTCTAGCTTCTAAATTGTTTGAGTTTATTCTTCTTCCCCTTGAATCCAGAGGATAGTTTTGTTGATTGTTTTAAAATTAAGTGCAGATTTTGTAAATGACGGGCTGTTAGATTGTAGAGAGTTGTGTCTTGTTAGTACCTGAATTATTTTTATCAATTAATTGTTCTTTTATGGTGCAGAATAGGTATATCATCAGAAAATTAGTTACTTAATTCAGTTAATTCTAATGTGAAAGTTGAATAGCTTGATTATTCTATGCTTAACTTGGAAACTGTAGGCTTTCAGCAACTAAGAAAAGTGTTTCCAAGGCAATAATGTTAGTTTTAGCCATTCAGCAGAGTCTGAATGCACATACACAAACGTGTGCACTCATACACATACACGCATATGCATTTATGTAACCTCTGCTTTTCAAAGTAGCATTTTAAAAGTAGTGATGCATCTAACACTCAGAAATGACTTGGGTAAAGTTCCATATGCTAATTTTGTAGAATGAATTCTAAATTTTCAGAGGAGAAACAGAGTTTATGTAATTTCTTAATCCAGTCCTAGGATGTTCTTCATTCAACAAACACTATTTATTTTGCCTGTTACATTCATATCAGACAAAAAGATATAGTGCTGAGTGTTATGGGAGATAAAAATCTGTGTCAGTGTCCTAAAGGAATATACCATACAGCAAGCTTAACTAAGCTCGTGGAGTAATTAAATCTCATTTGAATAGCATGTGTGCTTACAGTAAAGGAAGGAAGAGCATTCTGATGCCAGGCTTTAGACAGAGGTACAAAGGTGAGAAAGTGGAAAGGGTGATCAGAAGAGGTAGTGGGTAAATTGGTTTGGCTGGAGTGAAGGGTTTGTGGAGGGTACCATTGGGATGTTAAAGCTGCTTAAGGTATTTAAATACAACTTGTTTTCTCAACTTCAAAATGTTATCCGGGTGATTCATTATGTAAACTATTGAAAGCCATATCCTTAAAAATCACATAATTAGCATAATAAATATTTTCCTTATAAAGATGTTAATATATTCCTGAGTATTCCCGGTTATTAATGTTCTTTAAAAAGAATATGTGGGTTAAACAAAAAATAAAGAAAAATTTTTGTTTTCAATCAATATAGAGCAATAAATGGAAGAGGTCATTTGGTAGGTTTTGGTATGTTGACATAAAGACATGTTTCTTTTTTAATTGTTAAGTGTGTCTTATTATTAGGGCAGTTTAAAATGCATAAAAACTATGCATTTTCGTTCCCATTGGTATTGAACCAAATAGTTTAACCGTATCAATAGGTCCCACCCCAAAAAGAAGTCTTTGAAAGGAAGAATATAACAGTTTGCAGTGTAGAGGACTTACATAAATTTAACAAATAAAACGTGATCAGTTATATTAGTATAAGCAAGTGTTCAACCCTTGTTAGCCAATTGCATAGCTTCTAGCCATTTCCTCTATCACCTCTAAAAACTGTTAAGATCTAATGGGGCGGGGCAAGGAGGAAGATTGGCTGGGGGGTGGGAGTAATGTCAAGCCAGTTCTCTTCTTATTCTTAAGCCTTTGCTTGGAACAGTGGTGCAACCGCTGTGATTTCCCCACATTCAGCCTCTCTCCCATGCTCTTGTAGGTTGCTTTCACCCTGCCATCTGTGCACATTTGGCAGATACCTCAGCAGTAGGAACAGATGCAAACCTCTCATTCAGTGCCCCCAGATAAATCATTTTGGTCGGGATGTAGGATCTCTTAGGAGCACCAAGCTGATGGAGCCAAGATTCTCCCAGATAGGTTAAAAGCACCCCACCACCACTCCATATAGAATTCAGACCACAAAACTGGTTCTCCCACCCACAAGAAGGCTAACACACGAGTCACTCCCTTGGTCTTTTCTTCCCTACTCCTTATGCTCCATACCTTGTGCAATCCTTTACCTGTTTATAAAGCTTGGAAACCCCAGTACTCAGTGGCACCTATTGCCACTGCCTCCCTACCATGAGCTCTATCTCAATTCCTTGACATTGAGCTCCACACAGTAACACTTGCAACTGAGAAACAACCTAAAAGACAAAAGGCAGGTTCAGAATAGAGTTAGAGGAATTCAGAAAACTCTGCATACAACTCACACTGCCCTCAACCCACAAATATTGATTAAATACCTACTTTGTGCCAGGCACTGTGCTAGGTAGATACTGTAGATCTAAGTACCAAGAAACACGATCCTGACACAAGCTTACATTTTAATGGCAGAGGGAGGAAAGTACATATAAAAATAAATTCAGCATAAATCTAAAGTTAATAAATTACACATATAGTCGCAGAATGGTTAAATAAAAAGTAGTTGGGAGATCAGAAAAGGCTTCATGCAGAAGACGGTGTTTGAACTGCATCTTCAAGAAAAAGAACTTTGAGATGGGAAGGAGAGTGAATTTCAGTCATGGAGGATGATGGATGGCCAGTGCAAAGACATGGAGATAGAAAATGAAGTGATATGCTTAAGAAACAAAGGCTAATTTGGCTAGATTGTAGAATATGGAAGCAGAGGATGTCCAGTGATGGTCATATAAACAGGACCCTTACTGCATGAAGGCAATCCTTCTGTGCCTCCATAATGGATTCACTGTCCCACCTTCCACAGCAGTTATTCCAAACCACCTCCCTTCTCAAGCCCCCAACGGCACCCCTTTCCCAACTCTCTCTGTTAAGAACATCCTCTTCAGCTTTATCCAGAAAAACTGAGGTCATTCGCCTTCACTCCTCCTGTGGCCACTATCTCCTCCTTCAGTCTCAGATGAAGATGTAACCCTTCTTCCCAAGGCCAACTCCTCTGCATTCAACCTTGATCCATCCCTTCTTGTTTTCTCTAGCAGATTGTTCCCATTATCATCCCCACTTTTCAGTATCTCTTTATCAACTTTTTCCTTCCCTGCTGCTACAAGGAGCCCCCCATCTCCTCCATACTTAAAAAATCCTGACTTGATTCATTATCTCATGTCTCTCTTCCACTTCATCTATTCTCATAAACCCTCTACAATCTTATCATTCAACTTAAACATCTCTCTCCTAAGTTTAATGATCTATTATATAATGATCTAGTTATATATAATGATCTAATTATGTAATAATTGCTAAATCTAATGACCTTTTTTCAGATCTCATCTTCTTGACCTCTTTGTGGCATTCAACACTGGTAATAACCTCCTCCTGGATCCTTTCTCCTCTCTTGGTTTTCATGACACTGATTGGGCCTTAGTCTTTCCCGAGCTCTGAATATCAGTCTTTAGTCTTTCCTGAGCTCTAATCCCATGACACCAACTGTCCTTTGTACATCGTGAACTGGATGTCCCCTGGTCATATATGAAACAACTTATCTTCCCCTCCCCCACTTCAACCCTCCCTTTTCTGAACTTTTCTATTATTGTATTTCTCTTAATGTCAAAGGCACTACCATTCTCAGAATCACACAGGCTTAGAACCTTAATGTCATCTTCCAGTCTGTTGCCAAATCTTGCCATTTTGACCTTTGCAGCATCTTTGAATGTCCCTTGCTCTCTACTCACGTGCCTGCCTCCCTTGTGGAGGTCCCTCATCACCTGTTGCCTGGTCTGTTGCAGTAATATTCACCTAATTGGTCTGTGTCTCATTTCTCCCCACTTAAGCTATCCTCAGCTCAGACCATATCACCCCTGCCAGCCAGTCAATTCCAATGGCTCTCTTTTACCTGTAGGACCAAATAGAAAGTCCTCTGTCTGGCATGTAAACCTCTTACCACCTGGATCCTTACTACCTTTCCGTTCTCACTTTGCTCCCCACCACAAATTCTGTGATTTGGCCACATTGGCATACTTTCTGTTCTCTCACAAGGATCTTGATCATCTCCTACCCCTGCTCCATGCTTGTTGCGTTGGCTGTCCTTCAAGCCGAGGATGCTCTCCCTCTTTCTACCTTTTAGTATCTGTCTTCCTTGCCTCAGGTCTCAACTCATTCCATCTTCTAGAAGGGGGCCCTTCCTGGCCCCCAATCTACTAATCTTTTCCCTTCTGAAACTACCTCCCTTCTGCTTTGTATGTATCTTGGATGTACCTAGTTATTTGACTGTTGTCTTCCCACATTAGTATGTAAGCTCCTTGGAATCTGGACTATTTTTGCCTTTTTTTTTTTAAATTCCCCAGGACTTAGTACAGTGCCTATCACCTAGTAAGCGACTTAACCAGTGTTTTTTGATTAGCTGATTTAGCAAAGTGTATTCCCAGAGATCTTCTCCCACTGCCCACTTCCTAGCAGCCATATTTAGCCTTGAGTGGGAAGGGAAGGGAGGGGTGAAGGGCTTTGTAGTGAGGTACCTAATATATCTAAGGACCTAGGGCAGTGCCGTCATGACAGATCTGCCTCTTTCACTCCTTTAACTTGTGACACCAAGAAAAGATTTGTCCGTGAAGCACAATTATATATATGTGCCACTCTCAGGCTTCACCTAATCCAATTTTTTTTTAAAGGACAGCCTATATTGGAACTAATATGACATTTTTGTGTTTGGTAAAATGTGAACTACAAAAGAAATATGAAAACCTTTCCCTATCTCCATTGTCCTTTGTACCCAAGGATAATTTGTAGGAGGAAGCAAAACTGATGTGAATTAGCACATGAAACAATTAGCAGTTTATTAAATGGCAGATTCCCTGTTTGCCCGTTTCCTCATCTGTAAAATGAGCTGGAGCTGTAAAATGGGAAACCACTCCCATATCTCTGCCAAGAAAACCCCAAAGGGGGTCACAAAAAGTCAGACATGACTGAAGCAACTGAACAACAAAATGGCAAAGTATCCAGTACTGAATAAAATAATTCAGAGAAATGAGGGAGGGCTGTGGGAAGTGAAAACCTTAGAGGAATTTACGAGAAGATAAAAACTGAGCCAAACTTTGAAAGGTGTGTCAGAACTGGTCTAGGTAGAGAGCAGCAGGATGGGCTTGTACAAAGATGGGGAAATGAGGATGAGCAGGATGTGTGCCCAGGATTCCTGTCAGGCCTTGGAGGGCAGGCTGGGTTACAAGGACCACAAAAAAGTAAAGGAAGATGAGGCTAAAAGAGTTTCAAACTCCAACCTATGCAGTATAGACTGTTGACTGACCATGAAATGTCAGTCTTCTCACTAGAGAGGTGGTACACTATAGATGTGGAACAAAGCAGGCATACCTTGTCTTTCATGGCTAAGGCCGACTGGATTTGGTTTGTGATACTTTGCCATAAAAGAGGATTCTACAGAAAAGTGACAGCATGAAGGCATACCTTTAAAAATATAATTGTAATAAGAATATCCAAGATAATTGGTTTTAAAACAATGGAATCAAGTGTAAAAGAGACCCAAATGACCATCCTTTTATTAATAAACATGCTGGCCTTATTAATAAAATGGTTACGTTATCCAGAAAAAAAAAACCAATGGAACCTCTTGGATATATTGAATATTTCCTCAAGTTACTACAGAAATATGTGACATATCATCACATCATAACTCTCAGTTATATATGTAAGGCACTGTGCCTTGACAAAATCAAAATAGCTATGACCACAAGGAGCTTGCTTTCTATGGGGGAATAATAATAACATGAGCCCTCCACATATCCTTTCCTTTTGGCTTTTCAAATGTGTTGTAATGATGTTTAGTAACAAACACTCTCATACTTTAAGGTATTATTGAATTTTGCTTACAGTCAGCAGGTCCACAGCAGAAGTAAACACCAAAGATAAAAACATATGAAAAATTAGCTGCCATTCATTTGAAGAAAAAAAAAAGGATAAGCTACCTATGCTCCATTTGCTTATGTGTTTTCCTCTTCTTGATTGCTTGATTGATTTTAAAATTGGTTTCATAACCCTTGTACACATACTAACCACTATTTGCTAGAGGGTGCCTGGTCAAGCAGAAGAATGCCAAGTGATGGGGAAGCCAAGTCTTATCCTGTGGATAATTCAAGAGCCTTAATTAAATAATCAGAATCAATCCAAATAAAATCTGGGGTTTAATTATGTAGACTAGACCTTTGCTTCTTTTCAGATTTTTGATGCTGGAAGCCTTATTACTGTTGTTAGTAAAATATTAAAATAATAAGGTTTTTATAAGTTTTG